TGAGGGGGGCCATTTAGGGATTTGGGGCAAAAATGTGTCTGGGGATTGGTCCTGCTTTGAGCAGGGGGTTGGACTAGATGACCTCTTGAGGTCCCTTCCAACCCTGATATTCTATGATTCTAAGTGCTAGTGACTGGGACCAGCTTGAGATGCTGTAAGGGGCCTGGTTTTAGAGAGGGTTGAACTCTCCAAGGAATGTTGAGGTGGCCGCTCAGATTGGCTGGTCGCTTTTGGAAATCTTGGCGGGATCCTGTGGGAAGCTAGGACATTCCCCCAGGGAGTCTTGTCTCCTTATGACCAGCAGAGAGAATCCCCTGGCTGGGGCTTTTAGTGTAAGTGACTATGAAGTGTCCTGCAATGATGCTCTGGCTTAGGGCAGGGCCCTGTAGGGAAGCACAATGATCAATCAGCTATTGCTGAGATGCTTCTCACCATTCTGCCTGTGTTCTCTCTGTCACAGACTCTTCCTGGTGCACTGCGGCTGTTTGTGAATGGAGAGATAGGTGAGTGCCTATTATAGACTCTCACTCTGGTGAGGGGGCAGCCTGCTGCTGTGTAAGGCCCTGCACTCACCAGAGACCCAGGGACTAAGGTCTACAGTTCAGTCTAGGTCAGAAGTGCTTTGTCCGCTGGGAAGGATGTGAGCTGATTCCCTGCCAGTGGCCCACATCTCTGTTGACTAATCCCAGGAGAAGTGTTTGCACATTGGGGTTAGGGGGGAGGGATAGCTCAGGGGTTTGAGCATTGGCCTGCTAAACCCAGGGTTGAGAGTTTAATCCTTGAGGGGGGCCATTTAGGGATTTGGGGCAAAAATCTGTCTGGGGATTGGTCCTGCTTTGAGCAGGGGGTTGGACTAGATGACCTCCTGAGGTCCCTTCCAACTCTGATATTCTATGATTTAGCCATCCCAGGCAGACCTACAGGTGTGTGATGGCAGTAATGGAGCCCATAGTAAAGAACAGAACTTAGCATAGAGCCTCCAAGGCTAGTATGCTGTTGCTGGTGAGGAGAGGTGTTGCAGTCAACACCTCTCCCCACCAGAATTTGATAGCTGCTCTCAACTACCTGAAAGGGGGTTCCAAAGAGGATGGATCTAGACTGTTCTCAGTGGTAGCAGATGATAGAACAAGGAGTAATGGTCTCAAGTTGCAGTGTGGGAGGTTTAGGTTGGATATTAGGAAAAACTTTTTCACTAGGAGGGTGGTGAAGCACTGGAATGGGTTACCTAGGGAGGTGGTAGAATCTCCTTCCTTAGAGGTTTTTAAGGGCAGGCTTGACAAAGCCCTGGCTGGGATGATTTAGTTGGGAATTGGTCCTGGTTTGAGTAGGAGGTTGGACTAGATGACCTCCTGAGGTCCCCTCTAACCCTGATAGTCTATGATTCACACAAGGAAGCCCCCTTTGAGAAGACCCTGGCTTGTCCCCACCATCTGCAGTAATCTCCTCTCCTTACTGGGACCTTTGGGAACCCTCTATGGGACTCTCCCAGCCTGTGCAAATGGGAGGTTCCGGAGGGCTTGGGCTGTGGTTAGGAGACCCCACTGTCATTGTCTTGTCTTCTCAGTTTCAGCCCAGGGCTACGGGTATGACCATCTCTATGTTCATTTCTTCCTGGAGCTGCCCAGCCGTGAGTAGCCGTGGTCTGGTTCCTGAGCCAGTGTCCCTGCCACACTGCAGCATTACGAACTCTGCCCTGCTATAGGGTCCACCAGATCAGTCCTTCCCAAAAGCAAGCATAGCAGCAAGCAAGCAATGTGTTGGCCACCATCTTGGCTGGCAACAGGGATTGAACCAGACACTTTCAGAGCATGAGTCTCTATAGCTTGAGCCAAGCTTGATTTATCTGGGGGTACCTAGGGTTGTGAGGCAGCTCACTACCACCAGCCTTTAGTGTGAAGAAGCCTTATCTGTGCATGCTGGAGAACAGCTTACCAACACAAGCAGTTCCCTCCAGGTCTGCCAGGCCTTGCTCGCTCGCTCTCTCCAGGTTAGCAACCACCAACTCCACCAAGCATTCCCCTGGAGTGACCAGCCCCTAGTCCTGGACACTCTCAGGATTCACAGATCTGCTGCTCCCAAAGAAGCAATACACACTAGCATGGCAGTTTCCCTTCAGTTCACTGCTCTGTTTAACACACAGCACTTCAATATGGGTATGGTGAAAACAAGTAAAAGTTTATTTAACAAAGCATAGAGATTTAAGTGATAGCAAGTAGAAATATTAGAAACAAATGGTTACAAGTAAAATAAAATCATAACGCACATTCTGGAACCTAGACTTACTTAACTAGGCACCGTCATGTCTTAGAGTTGCTCATCAGCATTTTTCAGCCAGGCAGGCTGTGATCCCATTTTCTTGAAACAAGTCACGCTCTCAGCTTACCTCCTCAGTGAAGGATACCGAGTGTGTCTCTGCACTGTCCTGATGTACCAGACTATTTCTTTGATCTTAATCGTAAACAGGACACCCTGCTGCTGTGTGTTCTGTCCTGTAGGTTGTGATCTCTTGACTTCACAATCTTGATTAGCAGTTGGCTCCGTGTACAAATAGACTTATGCTGTTAGATGCACAATGAACAGCCAGGGAGATAAGTGTGTACTACCCCCTGCCTGACCAGAACTGGTTTATCACCTTGTGCTGACCTGCTTAACTTACATATCTTAAAGCATAGTTTTCAATATAGACACACAGCTTTTTAAATAACATCCTTACAAACATTTTACAGTGATTATGATGACCAGTGGGCTACAGGCTCTCAGTAAAGACCTTACATGCCATCTTTTAGCTAGCTATTATACAGATGTCAGACCAAGGTGAACCCTTTAAAACCCCATGCACCCCTTATGTTCTTGGCCAGTAGGCACCAAGGTGTCCCTGGGTCACAAGGATGTGTAACACACGCTGATCAGTGGATTCCCCTTACTCTTCCCTTTGCAGTGTTGTGGTCCTTCAGGCTCCCCGAGCCCCCTCCCGAGCATACTGTAGAGAGCAGAGCTTGACGCCTCTTCCCCATCAGCACTGGGCCCCACTCGGATCTCGCTGCCTGGTGGTGTCCGATTTCCATGTGCTGCACTAACACTGAGCCATCAATCCTACTTTCCTGAGGCTGAGAGAGGCAGGCCACTGGCCCTAGGGTCACTGTGGGTTGGAGTCATGTTTGCAGGATGCTCTCAGCTTTGTGCTGCATCACTCTGCAGCCTGCCCAGCAGGCTTTGATCAGTGTTAGTGGGTTAGTTTGTCTGCCCTGTTTTAAACCCTTGGCTTTTTGTCTCTGTTAGGCTATAGCCCTTGTCCCCCCCCCTCTATGGGATTATAGCCCAGTTGGCTGTTTGTCTCTCTGGGGATACAGGCCTTGCCTACGTTCTGTTTTCAGGTCAGATTTAAGTAAGTTTGATCTCTTAAATCCGAGTGAAGTTGGCTCCGAAGTTCCCAGTTCACGGGATCTCCCAGGAGACGCAACTAGAAAGGTGAAAGGGCAGCGAAGTGCCTAAGGGGAGCTCAGTGAGAGAGGACTAAGGATACATCCAGACTACCCGCCGTATCGGCGGGTAGCAATCGATTTATCAGGGATCGATATATCGCGTCTCGTTAAGACGCGATATATCGATCCCCGAACGTGCTCCCCATTGATTCTGGAACTCCACCGGAGTGAGCGGTGGTAGCGGAGTCGACGGGGGAGCTGCGGCCGTCAATCCCGCGCTGTGTGGATCCCAGGTAAATCGATATAAGATACTTCGACTTCAGCTACGCTATTCACGTAGCTGAAGTTGCGTATCTTAGATGCCCCCCCCAGTGTAGACCAGCCCTAACATTCTTCTTAGCTGCTCCAGGACAGCCGCCCCTGCTTTTCTTACAGCACGTGTCATTCACCTCACAGCCTCCTCTTCTTCTGCCAGGTTGGTCGAGCCCAGCATTCCAGCAGCTCTCTGGGGTGACGCAGACCTGTGTCACCAAGATCCTGGGCAAGGTAAGGGGCAAAATAGGGCACTTTTTGATGTGGTGGTTTTGAAGCCTGATGGGGCTTCCTACTGCTTGTGAAGAGCTCTGTGTGCCCACTCTGGCTCCGTATGTTGAGTGTTCCAGTGGGAGGTGTTATGGGGGTTCCTCATACAGCTCAGTGGGGTAGAGGTCTCAGGCCTGGCATTATAGTGTGGATTTTCCAGGGCTGGGAGCACGTTGAATGCCCTCTGTGTGACTGATCTTGGCCAGGGGTCAGTCCCCAGCAGGATCCTCACCCCACACAGCTGGTTCTCTCAAGCCCTTGCCATGTGCCGCATGATGCTGGTGACCCTGCCCAGGGTCTGATCTCTGCCCTGTCATCTCATTCTTGTTCCTCTTTCCCAGGACAATGTGGCATACTTCTCCTACCCCTTTACTCTGGAGATGTTTTTCACCCAAGAGGATGAGTCACAAGGTGAGTCCCTTGCTGCCCGGGCCTTGTTTGCCAGAATCTGATAAGGGCATTACACCATAGGCACTGCACAGCCTGACGCAGACAGCCCTGCACCTAGGGTCTCCCTCACCCAGAGAGGAGCAAAGGAGCAAAATCCTGTATCTGGCAAACATTCTCCCCATGCCACATGGACCTGGGGCATCTGGTGAGTAGTCGCTTCCCACGCCAGGGAATATGAAGGGATGGGACATTCCTGCTAACGAGGTCCTGAATGGCCAGCAGAGCTCTCGTTGGCTCGTTTATGACGTTGCTCTCCTTCCTTTTAGGCTCTCTCCCACAGTGGCCTGTGATCTATTTTGAGGTTCTCTCGCTGGATTCTTGGCAGAGGTATCGTGTTGAAGGTTATGGCTCTGTGGTGCTGCCAGCAGCTCCAGGTAAAACCTCTCCAGATGGCCAGCTCCTCCTGGGCCTGGGGCTCAGCTGATCATCAGGCACTGGGAAAGGATTTCCCCCACTACGCATTGAGGGGGCACAGTGGGCCTTCTATGAAACAGTGAGAAGGAGTCAGGTGGGCGTGTCCCATGCCATTCAGTGCTGCTGCTGGGGAGCAAGAGGCAGTGGTGACCTTTGATTTGTCTGGCCGTTCCCTTGGTAACGTCAGGCAGCCAGCCCTGATAAAAATACTTCTGTTACTCACCCCCACCCCCATACAAGGGGAGTTACCCTTCCCTACCCTATCGGGGGCTGTTAGGCCTCAGAGCTTGTGGCAATGGGCAGAAGCCCCTACAGAAACTCAGGGCATTCCTCTCATGTTGAACAGGGAAATGTAACTGTTCTACTCAGGAAAATGCAAAGCTTGGCTTGATCTGAGGGGCCTGTGTTATTAAGTGAATATGGTATCTCCATTGTTAGCTGTGTGTGCATGGGGGGCAAGGGTAGGCCCTGTCACATGCGGTATCTCCATTGTTAGTTGCATGAGAGCAGGGTGGGGAGGTCTGTCTCCCATCCATTCCAGCCCATTTGTGGGGGGAGGGAATCAGTGGACATTTGTCCTTCCTACCTTCCTCCCCTGTGATTCTCAACGGGTTTGTGGACATACCTCTCTAACTGGCCTTGTCCTCCTGGAACAGGGTTCCACACCCTGACAGCCCCCACCTGGCGACCCATTGAGCTGGGGACGGTCGCTGAGCTGAGGAGGTTTTTCATTGGTGGGTCCCCTGAACTGGAGGACATGACCTACGTCAGGATGCCAGGAATCTTCAAGGTGAGTTCAGCCTCGGGGCTTGTGCCACTTGCTCTGAGTCAGATTCTGCTCCTCTCCCAGGAAACCCTTGGAGCGACTTGGGCCAGATTCCAGCCTGCTGCCCAGTGGGCATCGCCAGAACCATCATGAGAACTAGCCTTTGTTGGCTGTCTGAACAGGATCAAATGGGCTACTGAGACTGAACCATGCCCTGGGTACATTACCATGGGGTGTCTGTAGGAGGCTTGCACTGCCCTGGCACGTTCTGGGCTTGCTCTCTGCAGAGTGGCTGTTGATCCAGCATCTTTCCTTTCACCAGCATTAAACTCCCTTGCATGTGTAGAAAAGCAGGTGCAATTCCTCTTGAGAAATGGAGCTGTGCTGTAGCTGAGCTTGCTCCCTGGAGATGGGACTCATTTTGGGGAGAGGCAGGCAGGATGCCCATGTGATCTGGAGATTTACAGCAGTTTGTGGGGGAACAAACAAGGTGGGCTCAGTAGGAGGCTGGAATCAGGACAGCACCTGAAGAGCAGTGAGTGAAGCCTTCCACCCCCACTGCATGGTCAGCCCCCTAATGAGCCCTAAGCAGTGAGCCCTGCGCCAGCATGGCCTGGAGCTCTGTGTTCCCTTCTCAGCACCACTCGGGGGTGCCTGGCCTCAGTGCTTGTGACCCTCTGCAGGGAAAGGAGACTCCATGCACCCACCCTGTCGCTAGCCCTCTTGCAGGGGCCATGCTCACTCTCCCTGCAGGTCAGCCTGGCACTGCTGACTGCAGACAAGGGCTGCTCTGTCTTGTGCTTTCCCCACAGGGAGAGTGCCTGAGCCGCTTTGGCTTCCGCACAGAGACAACAGGAAGCGTCACGTTCCGGCTCCACTGCCTGCAGCAGTCTAAGTAAGTGCTGCCTCACTTCCAGCTCGTGTGCCAGCGGCTCCTGCCCAGCCCTGACCTGATGTTTGTGCTTCTGTGCAGAGCCTTCCTGGAGTCCAGTGCCCTGAGGAAGCGCATGCAGAGTGTGCTGGACCGGCTCGGGGGCTTCAGCCAGCAGAGCTCCCTCTACAACGTCCTGGGTAAGGCTCTTTCCTATCGGTCTCGGCCATGTGGAGAACCCCTGGCTCAGCTTGCTCCCTGCATAAGGGGAGTGGAGAAGCTGTCATTCCCCAAGGGCCCCTCTGACCCTCCCACTCCCCCCTCTTCCCTCCTCCCTGCAGACTCCTTGTGCCTGACTCCAGCAGGGCAGAGGTTAAACCATGAGACAGGGAGTTGCTGGAAATGGCAAAGAAATGTCAAGCAAGTGGCAGGATGGAGTTTCTGTCTGGGCTAGCAAAGCTAGTGAATTGTCTATCCAGGGCCCACCAGCACCTGAGACCCAGCATGACTAGCTGTTTTGACACCAGCTCCCAAGAGGAAGTTCACTGCTCCCTGAAGAAGTCGGAGCAGATAGAACCCCCAGTGCTGAGAATAGCTGTTCAAGTGTCCTCTGTATTCCCAATCTTGGGACTTGCGCCGAGGGTGCAGCAAGACAGTAAGTAGCACTTTCCGGTAGCAGTGCCCATTAGGGCGCCCATGTGCCCTCCCCCCCCCACTCGAGCATGCTCTGAGAGTATGGGTATAAAGGGGGAGTGACACTCGTTGCCACCTCAGTTCTCCTCCATCCAACCTTGGGTCTCCTAGGTTCATAGACTGTTAGTGCTCCTAATTAGATAGTTTATCTAAGCTAATGGTGTTAGTTTTTATCATTAGTAGTTTTTTGAGTAAATTATTTTACAGTTTAGGTTAGTTAGATAAGAAAATCTTTATATATTTTCAATATGGTGGACCCTAGCATGAAGAAACATGGGTTCAGATGCTGCGTGTCTTGCTAGTGGTCTTCCTGGCATCTGATGCACATGTTCATTGTATAAAATGCTGAGGGAAGAATCATTCCCCAACATGTTGTGCTACCTGTAGCTCATTCACACTTTGGGCCTGCAAGGAGAAACAAAATAGACTTCAGGCTCTTCTATTACAAAGAGGCCTTGTCAGCATCTTGGATCTGATAGTTCTAAAGGATCCGAAAATAAGGATAGGAGACTGGAATCAGCACTGAATACATCCAGATCTAAGAAAATAGCAAACAACAAAATCTTTGGCCTTGATGCTGAGGTTTGGTTCCAGGCTGACTGATCTTACTGGACCCCAGTCCTCAGACCTGGCTCCAAAACTTCTAAGACCTCCCTTGGGAGCGCTACCAGACAGACTGCCAAAGTTTTCAGATGACTTACTGGAACCTACTATTTTGGTCCTCAGGAAAAGAAAGACTAAATTTAAGCATGCGTCAGGTAGGTCTTCAGACCATTCACACCTGGATCTGAGACCTAACAATGTTAGATCTCTGGATTGTTCCAGTGACTCAAACCTGAAGAAAAGACCATCTGATCCAAGCATGGCAGCTCAACAGCGTACGATCAGTGTCACAGCACAGAATCCCTTAGACCTGCATCTTGTCTCAGATCCAGCTATATTCATAGAATAATAGTTTGAAGGGACCCCAACAGTCCTTTCTGAACAGTTTATACCCATCCATGACAGTGCTCCAGTCATGTGAACTGCCCCACCAAGTTTCTGTTATTCCAATAACAAGGACAAGTGCAGAGTCCTGCACTTAGGAAGGAAGAATCCCATGTACCGCTACAGGCTGGGGACCGACTAGCTAAGCAGCAGTTCAGCAGAAAAGGACCTGGGGATTACAGTGGATGAGAAGCTAGGTATGGGTCAGCAGTGTGTGCCCTTGTTGCCAAGAAGGCCAACGGCATATAGGGCTGTATTAGTAGGAGCATTGCCAGCAGATCGAGGGAAGTGATTATTCCCCTCTATTCGACACTGGTGAGACCACAACTGGAGTATTGTGTCCAGTTTTGGTCCCCCCCACTACAGAAGGGGGATGTGGACAAATAGAGAGTCCAGTGGAGGGCAACAAAAATGATTAGGGGGCTGGGGCACATGACTTATGAGGAGAGGCTGAGGGAACTGGGGTTATTTAGTCTGCAGAAGAGAAGAGTGAGGGGGGATTTAATAGCAGCCTTCAACTACCTGAAGGGGGGGTTCCAAAGAGGATGGAGGTAGGCTGTTCTGCCACCACTGAGATGACAGAACAAGGAGCAATGGTCTCAAGTTGCAGTGGGGGAGGTTTAGGTTGGATATTAGGAAACACTTTTTCACTAGGAGGGTGGTGAAGCACTGGAATGGGTTACCTAGGGAGATGGTGGAATCTCCATCCTTAAAGGTTTTTAAGGCCCGGCTTGACAAAGCCTTGGCTGGGATGATTTAGTTGGTGTTGGTTCTGCTTTGAGCAGGAGGTTGGATTAGATGACCTCCTGAGGTCTCTTCCAACCCTAATATTCTATGATCAGTCATCTAGTCTAACCCCCTGCCAAGATTCAGGATTGTTGTGTCTACACCATCCAAGACAGATGGCTATCCATATTGCATTGCTCTCCCAAGAAGAGACTGAAATGGGACATTGAGTGAGGAGGATCTCCAGCAAGCAGGATCTCCAGTGCCTAAGACCCAGTGAGTTCACTAAAAAAGAATTAATCCCCTCTTTATGTATCTCGGATCCCTACCTCAGTCGTATCATCTGCTGCTTCAGGATCAGATCTGCATAGAATTAAAAGCTTTAGGTCCTCTTCCAGTTTGTTTATTTCATATGAAATAATCTGCAAGAGTAAGGCCATTTCATCCCAGTCCCTATCTAGATGGGTTAGCCAGTGTATTGAGTGTTGTAGAGGGTCTGTCTCCTAGGCCTGATCCACTTAGAGTTCATTCTTCTAGAGCTGTGGCTGCAACTACAGCATTTGCCTAACATATTCCTCTTACTGAAATATGCAAAGCTGCTACATGGAAGACTTTGACAACACATTATGGATTGAATTTGGCTCCCAGGTCTGTTGCTCATTAGAGTGGTGCTCCAGTCTCTGTTTAAGACTCCACATCCCTCCTTCAAATCTACTGTACTGCTTACCAAACTATCCCAAGAGTGGGAATATGCAGAGGACACTCAAAGAAGAAAGGAAGATTACTTACTTGAAACCAGATTTCTTCTAAATGGATTCTGCATATTCACATTCCCCACTACTGTCCAAATTTCAGTATCTTGGTATTCCGATTCAGCAGTGGAAGGAACTGATGTGGCAACGGGGGCTATGCCCTTTTTATACCCATTTTCTCAGAGTGCACGCGAGCGCTGCAGCAGGGAAGGGCCCGTGGGCACCCTAACAGGCACTGCTACCGGAAGGTTCTACCTTCATGCCGCACAAGTTCCAAGAATGTGAATATGTCAAGTCCACCTCAAAGGACACCAGTTACAAGTAAGTAGTCAGCATTCATATCGTGCAGGCTGGCTGTGGGGTGCTGCAGTGTAGAGTCACGGTTGGAGGGGAAGGAATTTCAAGAGAGCAGCCAGGGTCTCATGCTTTGTGGGTGGGAGAGTTTGTCATAGCCAGCCAGAGAGAGAGCGCAACCGTGTTAGCCAGACAGGCCCCCATCCCTCCACTCCCCTGACAGACTGCCTTAGCAGGAGTCTCAGTGGGTGCTGAGCTCATTCTTGGATGCTCTGTTGCAGAGGCATTCCAGAGGGCACGGCGCCGGATGCAGGAAGCACGCGAGAGCCTCCCCCAGGACCTGATCAGCACCTCTGCCTCCACCGTGCAGCAGCCATGAGCACTGTGCTCCCAGCGCCTCCACTGGCACCAGGCCTGGCTGGGTGCAGCAGTAGGGTTACCATTCGTCCGGATTCTGCCGGACATGTCCAGCTTTTTTGAGTTAAAAATAGCGTCCGGGGGGAATTTGTAAATGTCCGGATTTTCCCCCCCACACAGAGCGCGCACGGCTGACAGGGCAGCTGGCCGGATTGTGCCACTCTCCCGGGGTTCTGGCAGCCAGAGCCCCTCCTCCACTTCCCCCTCCTCTCCCCTGCAACTTGAGACCACTCCCCTCCTCTCTCTCCCTCCTTCCCCCTCCTCCCTGCATTCGCAGATTGCCCGCCAGCCGTTCACCTCAGCCTCCGGCAGTCTGGAGCTCCTCCCCCTGCTCCCCCCTCCCCGGCTGCCGAGCACGCTGTTCCGCAGCACTCTGTTCTGAGCGGCACGGTAAGGGAGCCAGGGGGTCAGAGAAGTGGCAGGGAGGTTCTGGAGGGGGCAGTCAAGAGACAGGGAGCAGGGTTGGATGGGTTGGGAGTTCGGGGGAAGGCTGTCTGGGGTGTGGGGGTGTAAGGTTTTGGGCAGTCAGGGTATAGGTAGGGGGTAGGGTCTTAGGGTGGGGGGGTCTCAGGAGGGGGCAGTTAGGGGACAAGGAACAGGGAGGCTTAGGTAGGGGGTGGAGTCCTGGGGGTCAGTTAGGGGCAGGGGTCCCAGGAGGGGGCAGTCAGGGGACAAGGAGTGGGGGGGAGGGTTGGGGGTTCTGAGGGGGGTGGGAAGTGGAAGGGGCGGGGCTAGGGCGGGGCTCCTCCTGTCCTCTTTTTTTTGATTGTTGAAATATGGTAACCCTATGCAGCAGCCTCTCTTCTAAAAGCACCTTGTGCAGCAAGAGTTTCAGCTCCAGCCCCTTTAGGCTTTGCAAGTGCCTCCCACTGCGGTTGTCAGTGTCTCTAGGATGCTCAGCCCCCGTACTCTCCTCTTGCATCCCTACTGGCCCCAGTAAAGGGGGCATCTTCCTTTTGAGGTGATGTCTGCCTCAGGATCCCATCTGGTGCTCCAAACTAGAGCCAGAGCCACTGCCCACCAAAGAGCTGGGTATGCCCAGCACTGCCTGGGTCCCTGCATGACAGGGTAACGAGTTGCTAGGCTCACCCTGGTGCTGATGTCCAAGCACTGTTTTAGAGCACTCCATACATGTTTGATACGAGGTAAAGCTCTGGCTTTCACTTGCTCATGGGATTTAAAGAGCCTCCCAAAGCCTGGGAGGGGCACTCAGGCCCTGGCTTCGGTAGCACCCCGTTTCCTCTAGGGTAGTGCCTAAGTGAAGTTTCATATATCACCAAAGATAAGCACAAGCAAGCCCCTCCCATTCCTTTCCAGTAACCCCCAGGGTTTGGTACCAGCAATCCCCTCCTTCCAGACCCATAAGGTGGGGGAAAGCTGGAGGCCCCTGTCCGTGAGTGCTGGGGTTACAGTAGGAGCACAGACGCTCAGCCAAGGTGAGAGCAAGCATGCAGAATGCTGATGGGCAGTGGCATCCCTGCACTGTCAGAATCATGTCCCATACCCTGCGATCCCTCCTGCTGCATATGTACAGTGGGGGCTGTGCAAGAGAAATGGATGTTTGATCAAATTGCCAGGAGTTAATTCTAGCCCGAATGGTTCTGACGACACTTCAGGAATTCTTTTTCCTAATCACATGGCAGTTCTCTTTACCAGCAGCGCTCATTTCTGGCCACAGCTAGAGACTTGTTGCCAAAGTCTAAAAGCCATAGACAATCATTCCATCACCCCTGCTGGGCAGGCTGTAAAACCATCTGAGAGACTGAGAGTAGGAGCACTTGTTATTTCTATAGTGATTATTGAGCAAGCAGCAAATCTCTGGGCTATATTAGTAACTGACCTGATAAGTTCTCTTTCCTACTGTGAGAAGGGGGATGATGTTGGAGGTCACGGGATGGTGTCATTGCAGAAGTTCTGTTTAACTGAATGAGTAAGCAGATAGGTCCTTGAGAAATGCTAGTTGTTGGCAGTGATACCGTTCTTTGTAGAAACCAGGTCTACTGCTACTAAAATTGATTCTCTCCACCTGAGCCTTATGACTGGATCACTTCTCAAGTGCAGTGCTGCTGCCTACTGGTTATACATGCAAGCCAGCCAAAAACATGACATGGAGTCAGAATAACGATAGAAGTGGATTCAGGGCCCATATACTCTGGCCTCTGTCTCTGAAGCTCCCAAGGGTACAAGACTTCATTATGCTGCTGTTTCCAGGGTGTGTCTGTCCTGTAGTCTGTGAAGTTGTTTGCAGAAGGGACCTTTGGACTGGGTTATAAATGCAGAACTCCCTATTCCCCTCAGTTCACAGCAGAGCTCTGCCTGGGAGGTTCGCCCAGAGAACGAAGGTAGAATGTGGCCGTTTCAGTTATCACTGTTTTATTAGTTGTTCCATCTCACTGTGACAGGGTGCACTGGGCCCTTTGAGGCTCCCTGCTTACAGTCTTATTACACCAGAGGTGGACAGACTACGGCCCGTGGGCCAAATCCAGCCCGCGGGACCATCCTGCCTGGCTCTTGAGTTCCCAGCTGGGGAGGCTAGCCCCCGGCCCCTCCCCTGCTGTCCCCCCTCTCCTGCAGCTATGCCGCTGTGTGGGCAGCACTCTGGGCGGCGGGGTTGTGCGCTCCTGCTGAGCAGCTCCAGTGTGTCTGGCTCCAGCGGGCAGCATGGCTGCCAGACATGCTGCTCTGAGCGGCAGGGTAAGGGGTGTAGGGGGTTAGATAAGAGGTGGGAGGTCCCGGGGGGCAGTCAGGGAGCAGGGGGTGGTTGGATGGGATGGAGGTTCTGGGGGGCAGTCGGGGGACGGGGGGGATTGGATAAGTGTGGGAGGCCTGGGGGGGGCAGTCAGGGGGTGGGGGTGTGGATAGGGGTCAGAGCAGTCAGGGGACTGGGAGCAGGGGGGTTGGATAGAGGGTGGGGTCCCAGGGACGGTTAGGGGCGGGGCTCCCGGGTGGGGGCGGTTAGGGGACAAGGAGCGGGGGGTTGGATGGGTTGGGGATTCTAAGGGGGGCAGTTGGGGCAGGAAGTGGGAGGGGTTGGATAGGGGGTATGGGCCAGGCTGTTTGGGGAGGCACAGCCTTCCCTACCCGGCCCTCCATACAATTTTACAACCCCAATGTGGCCCCCTAGGCAAAAAAGTTTGCCCACTCCTGTATTACACCCTGCCCAAAAGAAGAGCAGTAAAGGTGGGTCCTCCAGGCCTGCCTAGAAAGGTTGCAGGAAAGCAGCCAATCCGAGCCAAGCAGGTTTGGTTAAAAGGAGCTGAAGGGCCTGAGCAAGTCAGTTGCTTACTGGGACCAGAAGGGTGAAGGAGGACTGAAAGGCTATGAAACTCCCCAGATAAAGAGACTGGGGAGAAACCCTGCTCAAGCAGGGACAGGACTGGAAAGCTCTGCAGGTGCAGAGGCCAGGGAGAGAGAACCCTGAATAAAAAGGGGGCAGAGACACCTGAGAGAAGACCCTGAGACATCAGGGCAAAGACAGAGAAACTCTCCAAGCAAGGAGGTCTGGGAGAGACCCTGCTCAAACAGGGAACAGGCAGAGAATCCAAGAAGGTGATGGGACTGAGTGGGAAGCAACCAGGGAATGTAGTAGCAGCTATTAAAGTAGCATGAGGCTGCTATTTGTAGGGTCCCTGGGTTGGGATCCAGAGTAGTGGGCAGGCCTAGGTCCTGCCACTGGGGAAGAGGCCTAAGCCCCAAGAAGGGGATAAGACTTAATATCAAAAGCCTGAGAAAGGGGCTAGAATTTAAACAGGCCTAGCAATGGGGCTGAAAACTCCAGGGAGGGCCAATCATTTGTTGGACTGTGTTACTCTGGAAGGGGTCCATCCATTTTAGACTTTGTATGATTTAGCCGGAGGGCTGAAGTACTGAAGACTCTCCTGATGAGGGCAACAGCTGATGGGGTGCTAGGAAAGAGTGCAGGATCACACTCGGTCGACAGGAGGCGCTCATGAGAGGTGAGTGCGCCCCATCAGTCACTGTGTGGGAACAAGTATCAGAGGGGTAGCCGTGTTAGTCTGAATCTGTAAAAAGTAACAGAGAGTCCTGTGGCACCTTTAAGACTAACAGATGTATTGGGAGCATAAGCTTTCGTGGGTAAGAACCTCACTTCTTCAGCTGCAAGCATTGTGTGGAAACATGCTACCCTCTGGGATCCCACTATTTCTAACCTTTGTTGGTCTTAATTACCATCCTCCTGTTTCTTTCCATCTTCCCTGTGTCTGTCTTCCCCCCTGCACTTCCTTCAATTCAGGAACTCCCAGTGCCTACCCTCTGTGCATCACTCCTAGCCCACCCGCAAAAATGATCAATGGTGAAAGAGTCAAGGGAAAAGGCCTTAATTAGGCCTTAATGCCAACTCTGCAATGAGATTAATGGGGGAAGCACACAATTCCAGGCAGACAGTGCTCCATCAGTTTAAACTTGGGTCACATTTCAAGGATTTCTTTGTAAACAAGATGGGTAGAAAGAAACTGAGTTTCTGCAAAATCTGAATAGTCCAGGACTACAACCTATGGGCTGGCTATAAAATAGGGATTAACCTCTCTCCTTCCCCATCTCTGCTTTCACCTTGGACCAGATTGGGAATCACCAGTGCAAGATATCCTTGGGGCAATGGAACATATGGCTCTTCTGGGGTGGCTCCAGCCCTGGATAGCCCTGAACTTAGTAGTGGGTTCAGCTTATGTGGAGAGTGCAAAAACCCTGGTTCTGACCCACCAGATCCAAACCTGGCACCTTTGATCTACCTGGAGATTTCACCCTGGAAGAGGGTTTCCATTCCCAACCAGCCTTGAGGGAAGAAAATGTTCACACACAAAGCAGCGTGGCTGACCAAGGAGGGTGTGATCTCCCTGGGCTGGGTCAGAATGAATCCTAGAATATCAGGGTTGGAAGGGACCTCAGGAGGTCATCTAGTCCAACCTCCTGCTCCAAGCAGGACCAATGGTACCAAGCCCAGTCTTCTCTCCTGAAATATATCACATACCAACAAGTACATTAAAGGTATTAAAGTTGCAAAATAAAGCACTCAAATGTTAAGAAATGTGAGAATTAAGGTTGCCTGGGCAATTTTAATTAAACTTTCTTGTGTGTAGCTGTTACAGTCTTTAATGACATGATCACACACACCTTTTTTTATACAGGAGCCTGCCTTATTCAATGCATAGGATTGACAATGCTTGCTGAGGGGGTAGCTATTCTGTATTTCTTTTTATCTCTATCATTCAGTGTGTTGCCCTGAACTGTATGTCCTGCACACCCTCCAAACTCTTCTCTGAATACAGAATCGTTTCCTCTATAGTGTTTATCACTGTGACATGTGAGTGCTTCACAAACCTGAATTAGCTTCTCCTCACAGCTCACCAGCAATGCATGAGAATATTATTGTCTCTGTTTTACAGCTGGGGAGGGAGACACAAATAGACTG